ACTTATCTCAAAAATAGATAATTCATGGTTTTTCAAGTTTTAAAGGTTAAGATCTAATGTTGTTTCAAAAAGAAAATTCATATGGTTTTTTCAATTCAAGGCTCAAAAGGGGGTTCAAGTGAAAATAATACAATAAGTAGGCTTGAAAGGCTCAAACGCATTTGAAAGAATGCCTAAATCATTTTTGAAAATTATGTGAAATAATTAGAATGCCTCAAGAGATTTTAAGATAGGTTTTAAGGTCTCTCAATTAAGAAAGTGAATACACATACATTTGCCACAAGTTTTTCTAATAGAAACATTCAAATCATTGTCTAATTCTAAATGTAAAAGAAAATTTCAAAAATTGTTGGAAAAACAAGCCTTCATATTGCAAATCAAACATACTAAAATATTGACCACAACTTCATATAAAACATACAATCTAAGCAACTTTCTATCATTAGACCACATATTCAATTTAGCAGATAATTTATCAATCTGGCTCACACTTTGGAAAAGAGGAATTGCAAAAATCTAAGCTTTCCAAAACTAAACTTTAAGTCATATCAATCAAAATAATTCCCACACCCCCAAACTTAAATTGGACAATGTCCTTACTATCAAAAAAGAAACTAAGGGGCCCTTTCTTATGTAACTATACAACCAAACAAGAATAGAAAGGTTGCATGAGAGGCACTAAAAAACACAACCTATAATAGAAGAGTATTTCAACAATATTCACAAGTAACCAAAACAACCATGGTACTATAATTATACAATTTAATTTAGGTGATCATTTAGGAACTTTGTGGTAGAGAGGAGGATGAATGACAAGTGTGATTTGTGCTAAGGAAGAACATAAGTGGAAAAAGCTTAGGTGCCTAGAATTATAGATAGTGACAAGGGAAAGAACTTGGAAGATGTAGGGGAAAATGGTTTGCATTAAAGTGATCGAGTGAGGTTAGGATTCATTGTGGGTAAAATTTTGGGCAAGGGAAAAAAAATTCTTCCTTTTTTTTAATTTTTTTAAAAGGTCCAAAATCATGACTTTCATCTCAGTCTAAAATCTAAAGTTAGGACTTTCATCCTCTCTGGACCCTAAAGTCATGACTTTTATCAAAACTTTTGATGGCTATTTCTGTAGCATTGTTTTCTTAAAAAAAAATCAAATTTGTTCATCCCTTAAGACCTCTTCCAAGTACCATGACCACTCTAAATTAATCTATAATCATCATCCACTAACCACAAACAATTTTCTCCAATTAAAGTGCAATCAATCCCTAAAAAGAACCATTTTTCATGAGAGTCAAGCTATCAAAATTTGCATTCACTTCATAAAGCTTAAAATAATGTTCAAAACTAGTCTAAATTCATAAAAACAACTTATATAGCTTTGCTCCCCTAAAATTTTCTCTTCTTTTAGAATCTTGTAATCTTTTGTCACTTGCACCACTTCTTAAAAGGCTTTCACTTCCTTATATCATCTTTTAAACCTACAAAACCAAGAAGATCACACATAACTTCACCAAAACTAACTAAACTATAATAGAAAATTAAAAAGTAAGATTTAGAGCTTGAGTTTCCTCCTAAGGGTGCTTTGTTTATAGTCCTCTAGCCTGACTCTTCAATACAAATACCTGATTATTGGTATCAAAGACTAAGATCATCTTGTCTTCATTTCTCTTCACATGATAAGGCTTCAACAAGAAGGGGCATTCATCCAAACAAGCAACACATGTTCCCTTAATCAAAGTTGATTTCAAAGCACATGATTCAATAAGACCATTGATAGGCTCTAATGCAATTTTTCACAAATATCATTTAAGGCTCCTAAATATTTTGAACACCCAATGAAATCAACTTGAATCTCATCGGTAAGAGTTAAAACATTAATAGGAGGATCAAGTGTATAAACTCTTGGAATGTCCTCTCTTCTCTTTTCTTCAAAATCACATGGATGAAACTCCACAATTGGAGCATCTACCAAATACCCTTTGTTCCCTTCCTCATTAACTTCCAATTCACAATTACCCTCAAAATCATCACAAGCTATTAGAAATACTTCCTCACTCCCCATGGTCATTTGTTCACTTGAGTCTTCATCTTTTATGGTAGGATCATTTGATATATCATTGAAAACACTTTCTTGATTCAAAGAGTCAAAAGTAGAAGCCATTTTACTTGCTTAGAGTGTAAAATGTTGAAGAGCCAATGCATGTTCATTAATTTTCTTTTCTTGCCAAGCTCTCATTTCCTTTTGATTGTCTAGGATACGCTGAAGCATATCTTCTATTGTAGACTTCTCCTCATGAATGGGGGTATTTTCATCTATATGAGTATTGTGTAATGTATGAGGATGTAATGCATATGAGGACAGAGAATGAGTAGAATCCGAAGACATTGTTTGTTCATGATTCCATCTAGGGTCAAAAGTATTATCATGAAAGTTAGTTTGGGCCCTAGTGTAATCTTCCCCTATATAATCCAAACACTACTACAAAATTAGGATTTAGTAGTATATATTTTGTAGTAATAAAAAATAAAACGCTTCTAATATTAAAGCCAAAATAGAGAGGTAGAGTTTCTTATATTAAATGCCACTGCTTATAATTTATTTTTTTATTTTAAATTTTAGTAAATATAAAGAGGTAGCATTTTTTAAATGAAATACCACAGTTTTTGTTATTTAACAATTAAGTGGTATTTCAATAATAAAAAGCCACCTCTCTAATTTATTTTTAACTAACTATTTGTTTTATAAGATTATATAACTATTTAATGATAATTACATAATTAGTAATAATAATAAATATATATTGTTATACCTCTCAGACTTGTTTTAAATATAATTAAATAATTATTATTAATTTCATAATAAATAATTATTAAATTAAGTATAATTATTAATCATATTTAATATTTGAGATTATATTTTATATTAAATAATATGAGATAAGTGGTGTTTGTTGGTCCAAGAAATGCCACCTCTCTTAGATCTATTTTAAATAAAATTAAATAACTGTTATTAATTTTGTAATATATAATAAATTATGTATAATTATTATTAATTTTGTAGTATATAATTATTAAATTATATTTAATATTTCATATTGCATTTTATATTAAATAAATGATGTATAATTATTAATTATATTTAATATTTGAGATTATATTTTATATTAAATAAGCTCATGTAGGTGGTGTTTTTAGGTCCTGGAAACACCACCTCTCTCAACTCTTTTAAATAAAAAAGGTAAATATAACTTTTAATTCATGTACTTTATTCATATTTTACTTTGATCGTTATATCTTTTCTGTATTTTGGTCCCTACTTTTATTTTTTATTATTTTAAATCCTTCTAAGATCCCTATACTTTACTCATAGAGAGACTAAAAATAATAAAAAAATAAAAGTATAGAGACCTAAAATAGAAAAAAAAGTATAGGGATCAAAAATAAAATACGAGTAAAGTATAATGACCAAAGTTATGTTTACCTTAAATAAAATTAAATAATTGTTATTAATTTTATAACATATAATTATTACATAATGTTTAATATTTGAGATTACATTTTATATTAAATAATATGAGATAGGTGGCATTTGTTGGTCCAAGAAATGCCACCACTCTCAAATCCATTTAAATAAAATTAGTAACTGTTATTTATTTTGTATTATATAATAATAAATTATTTTATTAATTTTTAAATTATGTTTAATATTATGTATAAAATATTGTTAAATAACTATTATTAATTTTTTAGTATATATAATTTTTAAATTATATTTAATATTTCATATTGTATTTTATATTAAATAAATTATGTAAAATTTTTAAATTATATTTAATATTTGAGTTGTATCTTATATTAAATAATATGAGATAGGTGGTGTTTATAGGTCCTAGAAATACCACCTCTCTCTCAACTCTATTTTAAATAAATTTAATAATTGTTATTAATTTTGTAACATAAAATTATTAAATCATATTTAATATTTGAGATTGTATTTATATTAAATAATATGAGATAGGTGGTGCTTGTCGGGCCAGGAAACGTCACCTCAAATCTATTATAAATGAAATTAAATAACTGTTATTAATTTTGTAATATATAATAAATTATGTGTAATTAATTGTTAAATTATGTTTAATATTATGTATAAAATATTATTAAATCATTATTATTAATTTATCAATATATAATTATTAAATTATATTTAATATTTAATATTTTATTTTAATAAATTCTGTATAATTATTAAATTATATTTAATATTTGAGATTATTTTTATATTAAATAAGCTCAGATAGGTGGTGTTTGTAGGTCTTGGAATTGCCACTGCTGTCACCTCTATTTTAAATATGATTAAATAATTATTATTAATTTTATAATACATCATTATTAATTTTTTTATAAATAAGTGTTATTTTTAAAATATATAATTGTTAAATGCTGTTTATTAAATGTTAAAAATTAAAAAACACCTTTCTCTTCTAAATTAAATTTTTAAAAGAGGTAGAATTTTCAAGTAATGAAAATGTCACATCTCTCTTTAAAATAAAGTTTTTTTTTATTAATTAATATTATTTTTGAAATATATAATTTTTAAATATTGTTTGTAAAATATTAAATATAAAAAAATTATTTAAATCAGAGAGAAAATGTTTTCATATAATTGAAATGCTTCCTCTCTTGAATTTAGTTTTTTTATTAATTAGTATTGTTTTTTAAAATTTTATAATTATTAAATTCTATTTATTAGATATTAATTTTTTGAAAAATTATTTAAATATAAAAGGTATGGTTTTTAAGTAATAAAATGCCACCTATATTTTTAAAATTAATTTTTTAATTGATATAATTAGCTTTTAAAATACTATTTATTAAATATTTAATATTAAAAAAATTATTTTAACTGAAATGCCACCTCTCTCTCTCCTCACAATTTTTTTCTTTTTGTAGTTTTATCGAGGTGGTGTTTGCGCCCGGTAATGTTCCCTCTCTCTTATTTTCAAAGCAGCCAGTGCCCTCTTAGTTGTTGGTCCGCCCCTTCCTTTCTTGTTCACCTCTCTCCTCATTGTCGGGCTCCTCTGCCTTCTCGTGCGCCTTCGAGCATTCTTTCTCGTGTTGTTGCCCTAACAAATATAGGTAATCTTAGTGCTTATGGAGGCAGAGGCTGTGCGGTGAAGTTCTTTTCATTTATACCTCTTGTTCCTTTGATTTCTAGGGTTTACAATCTCTGGTTTCGAATCCTTTTACAGTCTTATAGGTTTTGCCTAAAAGATGTTTATATATGCAGATTGAATTGTCAAACCCTATTGTCCTTGTGCCAAACTAAACCTTCGCAATGAGAGATGGGGTAGATCTTGTACTCTGAGAAATACTGCGATGTTACTGATGGGTACAGGCATCAATCTAAAAGCCACTCTACTCTTCTTTGCTTTGTACAGTATGTACTTCAATCTCTCAACAAATGAATCATATGAGATCTTACCTCTAGTTATAATTAACAATATAAACTGTGGGCAAAGATCTATGAAGTATGGGTTTGGTTATAATTAACAATAAAAACTGTGTGTATATGAGAAGTTTGTTGTTTTTCTTGTGATCTATCATATAATTTTTGTTAAAAGAAATCTGTGCTTTATAAGAGTTTTGGTATTGTCTTCATCCTCATTTGCATGAGGCAAGAGAAGTGGTGTTGATCGTAAAGTGACAGAGGTTAAGTCTCCTGATGGTTAAAATTTAATTCCTGCATTAGGAGAAAAAAGGATATGAATATGAATATGTTTATTATATTTACTAATTATTTTCTCTCTTTGGCTTCCGACTACAGAGCTTTACTTGATACTCAAATCAACACCTCCATATTAACATGTACATTACAATCAAGACATGTATATTAAACCCATTTTTCTCTGCCTCTAACTTGAAAGATAATCCTTGCAGTTGCAAATGACCATTATAGCATGTTATGTCAAAAAACGGTTACTGAGTTCTTGGGTCAAAATATTTATTCCTCAAATTTGTTCTAAAACTTGTGTCATTCTTATATTCAAATTAAACATTCATTTGTCTTGTGATCTTTGCTTTTGTTAACAATTGTGATCCAAGTAGCCTTTTTTTCTCAACAGTTGTTTTAAGCACAATCCCTTAGTTTGTTCTTGTTACATTTATCTTTGACAATTTGGTAACAGGGGAAAGTTTTATGCAAATTTTGTAATTATGTTAAAACTTTGGTCTGATTGAGTAATTGGTTTCATTTAAGGCATATGCTTGCAATGAAATGCGCAGGCTATAAGCACAACCAAAATGATAGGCCCAACTAAGATAATTGGGATTGACAAAAATGGAATGACAGATTTTGTCAATCCTGGTGCTTTTGATAAATCAGTTTCAGAGTTAGTCATGGTGGAATGGGTGTGGACTATTCCTTTGAGAGCACCGGAGTTGCCCCTCTACTTACTCAAGCCTTTCAAGCAATTAATTTTTTGTCATCATGATGATTAGTATTTCTTAAATTTTATGCAGAATATATCTTATTCTTTAATCATCTTCAAAGCAACGCACTGTCCTAGGTTTGGAACTTTGTTTCTAAAAATGAGATAAGTTATATTTACTAAGTTATTGCACCTTGGATTTAATATAGTATTAAATCTATGAATTAGTTACATTCACTAAACATATTTAGAAAAATCTCTCTTTTCTTGCGTTTTATTGCTTGATTTGATGTTGTCCCAACTAATACCATATGATTCGATAACTGATATTATGATGAAGTGATCTTTTTTGATAACTGACATTCAAGCGAAATCTTTTGGACAAAGGAATTTGGAAATCTCAGGGAAGTGCTAACATCATATGGGAGGATATGGCTAAAAAGATACGGGAGGTTGCAAAAGTAGTTTTAGGAGAATCGAAAGGTTCTGGTCCGAGAGATAAGGAGACTTGGTGGTGGAATAATAGTGTACAAGACAAAATCAAGTATAAGAAGAACTGTTTTAAAGTCATACATTTGTGTAACAATGAGGAAAATTGGGAGAGGTACCGTATGGCTAAGAAGGAAACTAAGAGAGCTGTGGGTGAAGTTCGTTCTAAAGCTTTTGAAGAATTTTATAAGAACCTTGAGACGAAGGAAGAAGAGCAAAATATCTATAAGATTGCCAAGAGTAGGGAAAGAAAATCAAGAGATCTAGAACAGGTAAGGTGTATTAAGGATAAAGAGGGAAGAATTTTAGTTACAGTTGATGAAATTAAAAATAGATGGGAGACTTACTTTTCTAAACTTTTCAATGATGGAGAGGATTCATCTAGTAACTTGGAGGATTTAGTAACTGGTGAAGGAGAACAAAATTTGCCATTCTATCGAATAATTACGTGATAAGGAGGTAAAGGAAGCTCTTAAGAAAATGGCAAATGGTAGAGCCAACGGACCTGATTGTATATCTATCGAAGCGTGGAAATGTTTAGGTGAAGAAGGGGTGAGATGGTTAACTAAGTTATTTAATGTGATTTTACGGTCCAAGAAAATGCCTGATGAGTGGAGGAGAAGTACATTAATTCTTATTTATAAAAATAAAGGGGATATTCAGAATTGTACTAACTATAGAGGGATTAAACTCATGAGCCACACAATGAAATTGTGGGAGAAAGTAATTGAGCACAGGTTGAGATTGGAGACAAGTATTTTTGAGAATCAATTTGGTTTTATGCCAGGTAGATCAACTACAGAGGCGATTTATCTACTAAGGGGATTAATGGAAAAGTATCGTTGTAAAGATAAAGATCTACACATGGTTTTTATTGATTTGGAAAAAGCTTATGACCGTATACCAAGAAAAGTGCTTTGTAAAGCGTTGGAAAAAAAAGGAGTACGGATTGCTTATATTAAAGCCATACAAGATATGTATGAGGGGGTAAAAACTAGTATAAGAACGCCTAGTGGTCAAACAAAGGATTTTCCTATAAAGATTGGACTACATTAGGGATCATCTCTGAGTCCTTATTTGTTCAACTTGATCTTAAATGTTTTGACGGAACATATTCAAGAGAAAATTCCGAAATGTATGCTCTTCGCGGATGATATAGTTCTTATAGCAGAGACAAGAGAAGAGGTTAATTGCAAACTTGAGTTATGGAGGAGGACATTGGAGTCGAAAGGTTTTCGTTTGAGTAGAAGTAAGACGGAATATTTATATTGTAAATTTGGTAAAGGACTATTCGATAATAATTTGAAAGTGAAATTGGGAGATCAAATTATACCTCAAGTGGAAAAGTTTAGATATTTGGGAGCCATTATTCAAAATGATGGTGAAATCAGTGGAGATATTTCACATAGAATTCAAGCTGGGTGGTTTAATTGGAGAAAAGCCAAAGGAGTTATTTGCGATCGTAAGGTGCCTAATAAATTTAAAGGAAAGTTTTATCGCACTGCTATCAGACTGGCAATGTTATATAGTAGTGAATGCTGGGCTCTAACGGGACAGCAAGAGCATAAAGTTGGAGTAGCAGAGATGAGAATGTTACGATGGATGTGCAGACATACACGTAAAGATAAAATTCGAAACGAGCACGTACGCGAAAAAGTGAGGGTGGCACCTATTGAGGAAAAAATGGTAGAAAATCAGTTGAGATGGTTTGGACATGTACAAAGAAGACCAAGGGAGGCACCAGTGAGAAGAGTGGAACATATAACTTTGAGTCCGATTAAGAGAGGTAGAGGAAGGCCTAAGAGAACACTCTTGGAAGTTGTTGAGCGCGATCTCTTAAGTAATAATATTCCTAAAAGCTTGATAAATGATAGAACATAATGGCATCTTGCAATCCATGTAGCCGACCCCACCTAGTGGGATAAAGGCTTGTTGTTGTTGTTGTTGTTGTTGTTGTTGTGTTCAAACAAACAAGAAATCAATGCTAAGACATAGTTTAATTAGTGATATTATACTTTAACTTCAATGTAGATAAACCTTATTATATATCTTAACTACTATGTAATTTATGGTTTTTTATCTATCTTTGATTTTTATTTTATGACCTTGCTAAGTTTGTTGAAATTCTGTATAGTGTGAAATTTATCATTTACTTATATTAACTGTATCAATAAAATTTATTGCATAAATTAATTGTATATTTATTATTATTATTTATTTACTAAAAAAATCATGTATTTGAATTGATGATTATATAAAAGATCATATATATATATATATATATATTGTGATTTGTGCTTGTTAATTTTTGTAATAGAAAAAGAAAAAAGATGGCGTTTCTTCAAAGAAGAAATGCCACCTCTCCTCCCTTTTTTATTTTTTTACAAATGCCACCTCTTCTTTTCCTTTTATTTTTAAAAGTAATTATAGAGGTGGTATGCCTTTTATATTTAAAGTAGTAATTATAGAGGTGGCATTTTCTTATGTAAATGCTACCGTTGTGCCAATATTTTGTGGTGTTTCATTAATTAATGAAACGTCATCTAAGACTTTAGATAGCTTTAAGACTTGTAGCATTTTATAAATGTCACGAAATTAAAATTTTAAATGCCACCAAAGCTTTTTTTTAGTAGTAGTGAAAGGTGAGACATGGGGGCATTTTTTATTATAGTGATCAACCCTATAAAAATTTCAACAAATATAATCATATTGGGATTCATAAGCATAAGTAACATAATTAGAATTTATATGACCATCACACTTTTATCCTTCACTTGCCCCAGTAGTCCATCAAAGAGAATCCATACACCAAGAGAATAAAAATACAAATTAACTCATGGTGCAAGGAAAGCATAAGACAAACAACAAAAAAACAAAAAAACAAACAAAAAGAACAAATATAAACAAGAACACAAGAAAACAACAAGGAACAACAGAAATACAAACACACAACTACTAAAATTTACAATGCTCAAGTAAAATTTACTGTCACTAGTTTAAGGTTAACTAAAATATTTTCAATGTTAAATCCCCAACAACGACACCAAAAACTTGTTGTGCTCTTCACAAGTGCATGAGCCATGCTAAGTAATAAAGTATGAGTAAAGTATCATTCTCACGGAGATTTGTATTAAACACAAAAGACATTGCGAATTCAATTACATTGAGCAAATCTAAATTGTGATTAGTGTAATGAGTGAAAGAGTATGAAAACAAAGAAAAGAAATTGATTCAAAAGTTTTTGAAAGTAATTAGGCCTAGAATTATTTATCCCCCTTTATATACTTCAAGAATACTAAATCAATCCCCAATATATTTTTCTCTTAATGATGAATTATGCTAGTTAAGGATACTAAATTACAAGTGTTCTCTCAAGTCCCCAAGTAGATGTTTAGTTTAATTAATCCCTTAATCTATTAATTAACTAATTAAACTCTAATTTTCCTTGCAAACCCTATGTAACTGTGAGGTTAATGAGTGTATCTCTACCTCATTAATAAAACCATCCATTTAACTTGCAAATTTTAAGTTCTCACATAATTTAACTCAAGTTCTATGCTCAGTCTAGTTCTTTCAAGCATTAATCAAGTGAATCCAACAGTCTAATTGACTGCCAATCAATTAGAAGTGCTAAGTATGGAATAAAATCAACATAATCATATCCTTAATTACAAATACAAAGAGGGAATCAGTGTTTAATCAATACAAAGGGTTCAAAATAATTGTATGATTAGGAGTTTAGCTACAAATGTTTATAAAATCCATGAGAAAATACAAATATATCAGCACAAACATTGAACAAAAGGAAAGGAAGGATAATAGACAAGAAGAACCAAGATATAAAGTCAAAATCTCTTCCAATCTTCAAACCTAACTCAATCTCTACTAAAATTCATGGCCTAGCACACCTAAAGCTCCCAAATGCTTCCAAGAAGTCCAGAATGGTGGCTAAAGTCGAGAATGGATCATATATACTCTAAAACCCTAACTTTATCAACTAATAAAACTCTTCGTTTTGCTATCATGTTGAAAGTCATGAAACAAAGTTGCGACTTTGGGATGGCTTTGCTATGTTTTGCACTCTTTTCTCAATTAACAAAATTTATTTTCTTTGCACTTGATTTCTTCATTCAAAAGCATCATTAAGAGTCAAGAAACTCATCCAACCAAACTTTAAATCAAAATATCAATAAATTAGCTTTGAAATATCAAAATAGAGGCATGGCTTGAATTTTCAAAACAATATGCACATTTTTTTAACTTGAGTATTCAAAATATATACAATTGTGATAAAATATATTAAAAATTTAAGGAAAATATGCTCAAATGATATGAAATTTTAGAGGTTAACAACTACACGAAGTATTCATATGGTTGCACATATAAAGCAATAATTCATTCATTGGGCAATCAATGTGATTGAGAAATTCCTAGTGAAGTGCTCGAAAACAATTTAATGTCATCAGAGACAAAAAGAGGTGTCGGTGGGCTTACGAAGACATGATTTCCATCAATCGGTGAGTTTAAGAGAATTGTTAGGTGTAGTCATTAC